TGAGACTCTACAGCAAGAGGTGGGCTTTCCGGTTAGCTCCACAATTGATAGGGCTTTCAGTTAGGACAGGTAGAGGAAAAAGGATGCGGTGCTAGGAAGAGACTCTATAGTGGGGGAACCAGATTTCCAGTCGGCAGAGGAAAAAGGAGACCACAGTAGGATGACTTTCTATGGAGGGAGAACTGGACTTCCGGTTGGCTCCAGAATTGAATATAGGGCTTCCAGTTAGAACCTTTGTGTTTAAGATTGCCAACCTCTGGGACAGGATACTGGGAATGGGAATAGGAATGGGAGTAGAGTAGAATAGAGTAGAACAGAACAGAACTGTCTCTGGTGCATAAGCTCACAGTACATATAAAAAGCAATGAATAGGTCATAGATCACAAATCAAACTTACAATCATTAATCATAAGTTACAAACAACTGATAAATTGTAGGACACCAATAGGAGAAGATAATTGGAAAGATGAGAAAAATGAAAAAAGACAGTGCTGTGGAAATGAAGTGTGATGGCCTGGGGGAGGAAGGAGAAAACTATCTGGTTGTTTTGGTATGCAAAGCCCTATAGCAGCATTCTGAGGGGTGAAGATGAAATTGATTATGTCCAGGTTGTGAGGCCCCTATAAGTACTTTCTCAGCTCTCTTTCTGGTTCATGCAGCATACAGATCCTCAATGGAAGGCAGGCTGGTTGCGATGTTTTTCTGCAATCCTAACTGTCCGTTGAAGTCTGTACCTGTCCTGTTTGGTTGCCATGCCAAACCAGACAATTCATGAGGGACAAACGACAGACTCAATTAGTTGTAACTCTTCCAAGAACTTTCAGTTGATCTCATCCACCATCTTAAATCTTATAAAATGAAATGGAAAGATATATCCATCTATCTAATTTCTTAAGTGCCCATCTCCCTGATAGAGGGGTACGGGGCGATAATTCCTCGTTTTCCTTCCTTCAGCCATACCAGTTCATTTCAGCCCACAATCCACTTCCATGACATTTCCTTGTGTGAAAAAAGACAAATTCCTTTTGTGTCCAATCGCACTTGGCCAATAAACAGGATTTCTGTACAAGGATCATAACCTCAGAACTGGGGTCTCTGAAATTCTTTCCACAGTCCGTGCACTCATATAGTTTCTCCTGTGTGGATCTTTCTGTGGGAAGTTACAGAACAACTCTTTCTAAAGCTCTTTCCACATTCCACACAGTGGTACGGTTTCTCCCCCGTGTGGATCCTTTTATGAGAACTAAGGGAACTGCTTACAGCGAAGCTCTTTCCACAGTCCGTACATTTGTATGGCTTTTCCCCCGTGTGGGTCCTTTTATGGTATGTAAGGGAACTACTGATGCTAAAACTCTTCCCGCACTCCAGACATTGGTATGGCTTCTGTCCAGTGTGTATCCTTTTATGGGAAGTGAGGTAACTTGCATCACTGAAGCTCTTTCCGCACTCTAGGCACTGATACGGTTTCTCCCCTGTGTGGATCCTCTGATGGGAAGTAAGCCGGCTTTTGCGACAGAAGCGCTTCCCGCACTCCGTACATTGATAGGGTTTCTCCCCTCTGTGGCTTCTCCTGTGGGAACTCAGGTAACGGCTCTGACTGAAGCTCTTCCCACACTCCACGCATTGATAGGGTTTCTCTCCTCGGTGGATCCTTTCATGAGTCAAAAGCTGACTTTTCTGATGGAAACTCTTTCCGCAATCCATGCATTGATATGGATTCCCGCAGACCTGAATCTTTTGATGGTTACTTAGATGGCTACTCTGGCTGAAGCTCTCATCACATTCCACACCTTTATATAATTTTTCCCCAAACAATATATTTTGATTTAAAATAAGAGGAAAGGCCCATTCCCTATTTTCAGGTTGTGCCTCGACAGGATGCCTTCTGCAATTTCCACACAATCCTGATTCCTCCTTTAATATTTTTCCACACGCTGGACATATTCTGGTTTCTTGGTGATTTTTTTCAGCCAGGAGCACATTGTTATCTGCATGATGAAAAGCGAGGGCTTTCTCTGGCTCTCCGTTTAGCTGGTTTTCCTCAGGACTTCTGACTCCTTGTTGACATTGGAACATCCTTTCTCCAATTTCATTTTTGACTATTGGCAAGTTCTCTACCATCTCC